GTCGCTCTCTCGTATCTCACCAGCTAGAGCGCTATCCTCCTTATGCATCCACGCATTTCACACTACCTCCCTCGGTCGCGAGTGTGTGTATCTCGTAACGCGTGCATGTGAAATTGCTTAAAGGGGATGAACAGACATGCTCTTTATCGAAATCCTATTCGTAGTGAACGAATACTTGCGATGTTTCTTATCGCGAACTATTTACTGAAGATGCGTCTGAAAGCGTCAGAATTAGAAACTATCTAAATTAATTGTCTACGTAGATTATAAATAATAAAATGTGCTATTTAAATGATAGAGATGGTGATCTCTATTGCTGGTAATTCCGAATCTGTGATCCTAAATTAAATACTACTTTTTTGTACTTCGCGTGCTCTCACACTGTTAATTTTCCCAATCGTGATTAACTAATTGAAATAAACTTTATACAGTGTAAAACGATGTGATGGAAGATAAATTCAAAATTGTAACGAGACTCTTGTATTTGTTACGTTTTAAAAAATGTTAATTAATCGTAAGCTTAAATAAACGCAACAATTGAACGTGGAAATACCATTCGATCAAACCGCAATTGTTATATCAATCATCATTTTGATCCGCTTAAATTGCGCGATCGAAAATATGATTACTCAAGAACGATCAGCACGTGTCAACTATATTTCGGAACGATGACACAGTAAAAGCAATTCAGAATGACAGGCGTTGCGTGTCTTGTCGGGCCGAATAATCGACGTTTTAATGTCATGATAGGATATACCCATCCGCAAAGTTGCGTCGCGCCAATTACCCGTTACAATATTTGCACGTTCGCATATATGCATCCAATGACAAGCTTATTTCACAAATTGCAACCGTTACAGCACCCACCGAACAAAGATTCGGCACAATTAGAATACGTCCCATTGCTCTCCCGTTTTATTTCTTTTTTCTCTCTCTCTCTCTCCCTGCGCGCGTTTACATCGCAATTAATCTCACATCGAAGTTATCTCTTTGCGAAGATCGCAATCGGATATTCACTGTTTCAGCTCTTCTCCCACAATATTTTGCACAATATCACTCGCGATTTTCTGCGTAATTTATGGCTACATTGCGAGCGGATTTCATCTCATTGCGCCCGGCGAAAAAAGCATCGCACAATCCGCTCATCATGATCGAACGCTATGTAATATTCACAGTTGATGTCTGCTACCGAGAATAATCCTATAAAGCCTTGTATACATACGTCATCATGATATGCGTAAATTTTTTACGATATATGTCATCGAGGACGTTTCTTTTTCTGTTTCCACGTAGTTTTATTTCATTAATTAGTTTTATTTATTTCATTTCTCAATCTCTGATATAACTGAATGTAATTAATTGAAATAATACCGTAATAATAAAACTAATCGATAGCTAAGAGCGAAAACTGAAGATGCAAAATGTAAGACATATCTTGTTAATATTTTCCACAATTTCATAAATCTTATTGCACGCTTGCAGCATAAAACTATTCTTGTAACCGTAATATATATATATATATACATTTTATAATCGTGTTGTAATTTATACTTTCATCGTGTACAAAGTTCTTCCATTTACTATTTTTTTGTACTTGCAATGCTTTACATATTCAATCTACAGTCCACGCTTCAAAAAATGTCGTGTAATCGATGTGAAAAATCTTTGCAAGGCGTAGCCAAGAATATAAGACATTTTTATCGTACGCCAATCTATTCACTTGAAACTGAAGTTAATAGCTTTGCGACTCGTTCCGCTACGACCGGTAGGAGCTCGTTAGTCGGTGTCAAGTAAAGGCAGTTAAAAAATGCAAACGTTTAATTATAACGCGTAGCATATTCCTTAGAGCTCCCTTTTCCACGACCTTTGACGTTGATACGCCGAGCAATGGCGACGGAAGATAAAACGGCAGTCTTTCTCAGGAATTTTACGGAAATCTTTCTCAGGTCCGGCAAGAAATATAGAGATATGTAAATGAAATGAAATCTGTTACTAAAGAAATTTCTGGCATTGCGACATACCTTTCGTGGTGCAGTATCATACTTTCAAGGAGAAATGCTGCTATTTCGGATAGATGAAGCTCTTTCACTCTTTCCATTTCTTCTTTATCACATTTTGATACAAAAAATCTCAATTATATTCTACACTTTTTTTTAATCGCACAGGATTTGCGACAAAACTTTCAAACTTCACAAAATAATTGAATTTCTTGGAAAGTTATATAGAAATAAAATCTTATAAATACAGCTAAGACTACTATAAAAGATAGAAAATATCTGTAATTATTGTAAGCTTTAATGTTTGGTTGCAATTTCCAGCATGCGGTATAAATATTTAATCACAATATTACTCTTTGTGTTTTTCACATTTTTCTGCAACATCCTTAATCGAAAATAACAATCCACAAAAAATTGATGAGCAAAAGTATAAAAAAAAATGAGATTGATCTCTCGATTTTTATATTTCCTAAAATTGAAAATAGATTATCGACAAACCAATCTAAATTGATTGGGAAAATTGCATTTTTTTTACAACCTCTATTTTAATCCCATTCCTAATCTATATATAATCCACATACGTCTTTTTATGCATTAATTTATTTTTGTGAGTTGCAATTTTGCGCTAAGAGAGGAATTTTAAAAATAAAATATCCGCCAGTTATAAATATCAATGACTTATAAAATTCTTCTCCGTATATATAAAAATAATATGTATTCATGAAAGATGTTAGAATATAATTTCAATAAATTTAAAGTTTAAATTTTAAGAATAATTTTTATGTCTACTTATGTCTATTTGTACGACAATAAATCTGTATATTTTTCCATCAAGCCAGTAGCATTAAAAATTGAATTCACTGATATATACATATATTTATGGTAAAAACATCCGCAAAAGATACGTGAATCAAAAACGCGCGATCGACTTCTCGACCATTGGAATTACTTTCGTCGGCATCGTCACTAAGTTTCAGCATACGTGCGCACTTAAACTTATTAAATTTGTTCTTCTCGCACGTTCGAAAATATGGAACTTTCGCGAATGGAGGTTGCACGAGCTCTCTCGTACGGAAGAATCAGTTTGCTTCGGAAGAGCCCAGAAATTTCAAGTCGCTTTGCTCTCTACGGCGTAAGCTTACGCCGCGTGGATATTCGAGTCGCCGATTCTCCCCGGGGAAAGGACGAAAACTTCCTGTCCCCCGAACTTTATGGAATCTCTTTGAGCAACCGGGAGAGCGGCATGGTTCGGATTTCAAAATCCCGGCGAAGATAATAATAAGTTAATCCCCCGCCTTCGACGGTACTCCGATAGCCAAAGTTACTCAGACGTGACGATATGGCGCGAGTCTGCAACTCCTCCTTCTCCCTCTTCGACAAATCGGCCGTCTAATTCCATTATTCGACACCGATAAACTCGACCTAACCGTGAAACGAGTTAACGCGCCATTTGGCGGCCGACGAGTGGATAAAGCTACGGAGGCGTGTCCACATTAGAAGAATCGATGAGTTTCGTGAGAGCTAAAGTGTCAAATGCCATGTGAAGCTGTTAATCAATTTATTTATAACCGATACATTGTATCGTACAAATCTGAGAAGACCGATCTTTAAAAAGAAAAATAGTGTTTCCACTCTAGGCACTGATTATATTAGTCCATTTAAAGGTAATCAAAGAGTGAATACTTATGAAATTAGGATGAGCAAATCCTGTTTCGATATGAACAATTAGATAATCATTAATTAAAATAGTTCGACGAGTGTAATTGACAAATTATAAAACTCGTCATTGTGAAAGCTACACGATTACTACATTAATCTTTTTATATTTTTTAAAATAAATTAGCATTTGTATTTTTATCTTTCTTTTCTCCCATAAACCTTCGCAATTTTCACAAAATTAATCATACAACGGTAGATAGTCCATTCAAAAGTCCATTTGATCAAAGAACTTCTCATATTCTAGAATTGCGTTTCCTATTTAAACGATATGTCTATAATAAGAACAGCATGCAATTATTAGTTGCGTGAGTGTCTCACGAAACTCTCTGTGTACCGGTTGCGAATTAATTCTCCTCTCTCACGTTCTCTTACGTTTAACGAGAATCACATTGCGATCATGCGACTCTGTTTAATTTTGTTAGTGTATTACCTGCAAACTCTCTTTCGATGTAACCCCGCAGTCGCAGAGTTTTCGGCACGAGCAATCAACTCAGTAATTGAAATGTAACTTAGAAACGCACACACACGGTCGTCGTCCCGTTGCTAAGCGTAAGGTATTAGCGACGCCTGAAGTTACACGGTGAGGTTTTGTAACGCGATAATAACCGCAGTTTCCGCGATTCATGAAAAGATCATACGAGATAGAAAATTCAGTAGTTACGCGAAAATCGCGAATAATATATTCAACGGTTTCATCCGTAATGTCGAAGACCGAAGCAACGGAAACTCTCATCGCGACTAATAACGAAGCGAATTTCCGATTCGCCGACCGAGCTTATTGAACCATTACCACGGCACGCGTCAACGGCTCCGCTCGCCGCTCTGGCAAATCGACTATTTAATTCCGTTATCGACGCGTCAATAAATTCGATGTAATGCGAACCCGCCCGCGACGGTTAATTCCATGCGCCGAGCGCTTGACGAAATGAAAATCGGCCAAGTCGATTGATGAGCGTGCGTGCACTGATTCGCGAACGTGATAATTAAAGTCCGGATTTTGTTACGACTGACAATCGAATCTGGGCGAATGTAATAATTCGCAGTTGTATATTTACATAATTAAATAATTAATTGTAACACAGTAGCTTATTGCGTTATCTTTTTCATTTTCCTCTCTCTTATCTCTTTTAATGTAATAATTTGTAATATCTCCAGTTTCCTATGTTCTTACTACTTTTCATATATTATTAATTAAGGTTACAACGCGTAGAATTTACGAATAATTAGTTATTGTGTAATAATTTATGCTTATACATTGAAACAAATGGCTCTTTTGATTTACAGGCGGAGATCGAAAGTCGTGATATCCTCCGCCAAGCTTGAGGACAGTGGCAGATACGAATGTGTGGCTGAGAGTACTTCCGGTCATCAGGCCACACTAGCGGCCCAACTTCTAGTCACTACTCATGATACCAAAATTCCGGAAACAAGTAAGTACACGATCATCATTTCTCTCTGAGAATAATCTTGCGTAAAGTGATTATGTAAGGACGTGCTAGCAACAGTGACGAACTCGATTTTTTATAATCATAAAATAGATATAATGATTATAATTTAATATAATTAATTAACTTAAACTAGCAATTCCTCGTCTTCATGCAATTAATAAAAAAAAACTGTTATAATTAATATTCATTCAATTATAACAGATGAGATTAATATAAGATAATATTCACAAAGCGGAATGTCGCATAAAGCAGATCTAAAAAATGACAAGTTTTATCGATACTATCGATCGTATGTTTTCGATACGACAAAACCGATCAGAGATTGTTAACCGCTGAATATAGGATTTCTGTGAGCCGATCGGGGCGCGTATACCTGTCGATACCTTACGCAGAGCTTTCGGATGGAAATGTTTCGGATTTCCACCTGACGTTATCATAGCCTCGCTTGTCACGATAGGCAAAAGCACGAGAGGCTGCAAGTCACCAATCTGTACATCTTGAATCATCGTGCTGACGGTAGAAAACCCCCATGATCTTTCAATACTTTGAGAAAATACATTGAATTTATCGCATACGAATGACGAGCAGAGCATTATCGAGAATATAATATCAGTGGATGTCAATCGAAGAGTTAATCAATATTCGACTGAGTTTTCCCAAGTATAATTTGACATGAGCGAAAAATGGAGTTTCACCGCCGATATTCTTGTCACGGAAAAGGGCAACGCGATGCACGATTGGCCATTTCGAAAATAATACGACACGGTGCGATAATTCCGCTGTATTGACTTCGAAATATCGACTTATTGTTAGTGATTTTACAGCAAACGTGCGAGGTAATCTGGCCACACTTTCAACGATCCTCGGATGCTTCCTGGCCCTTTTCCTTTATCTTTTGATAAGCGCAACGAACCAAAACTCGAACACAAGCCACATATTTTCCACTTACAATTTTTGGCGCACTGAAATCTGACATGATAGTATCGCATAACATTCGAAATCGATTACTCGTAACTTAGAGAACTATGAGAGAATCGATTCTACAAAAAAGTTGCATTGATTCTACGTTTTTTCTTTCTTCAGATAACTTTCGAGCTTTATCCATGTCAGTTTTTATAGATCAGCGAAGGCTTTGAAGAAAAAGAAAACGGAAAGAACTTATAATTAACGAAGCAAAACAATTCTTAACTGAACAGCTTTTATAAAAAAAAAGTACTAAGCATACCAATTTTAAAGTAAACCCGCCTTAAGACTGCTCATTAGAGATATATGAAACGAACGCTATTCCTTTTATTATTTTATTAATTTTATTATTCTTCTTTGCAATTTCACTGCTCTTTTGCAATAATTTACTGAATAAGCTACCTCATTATTTTTTATAAAAATACATATATATTTACGTACGCTACACTTTGATCACAAGAGTTATATTTAAAAAAAAAGTTTTATTTGAAATTTATATCACGAATAAATATATTTATGAAATGAAAGTTGAAATAATTTATCATACGAAATTACGGATTAAGACTGACATTATATTTTTTTAACAAATAAAGAAATTACCGTATTCTTCTTATTAGAGAAAGTTTGAATTTTAACACAAAGGTATTTGCTTCACTCCACTTTACGTAGAGAAACCATTCAACCAGCATACGCATTTAATTCTAATGAAAACGAAACTTCGCGAGATGTCTGGTATGCCAACTCCGGAAACGTGTTGCTACAGGTACATTCCCTCGCTTAGCTGGCATCTAGGGCCGAGTCTGGCGGGACATTTGTTCTCGCGATCTTGCGACAGCGACTGACTGTTTTATTCCGACAGCGGTATTCAAAGCGATTCCTGCGAAAACGAGTTTAGTTCCGTCGCGCAATCGCGCCGCGGCGAGAACGCGAGTGACATCCGTTTATGAACTCTACAAGCAATTGCTTCGCTGACGTTGCATCTTTTTACGACCGCCGACTCTCGCGTAACGATGCACTACATTCGCGATACGTATAGCACGGTATGCGAGTCGCGGCGTGGATATCGATCCTGCACTCCCCGTGCGGCTGCTGCCCTTAGGGCAGTGGTTTATGGCTTTTCATAATACGATATTTGGACTGCGCCTGTTACAGCGATATTTACGTTATTTCCAGCTATATTCCGTGCAACGTACCGAGTATATCGATGCCTCTTTCTACTTCTCACATCTTGCCCCACCGACTAAAATTATAAGTATTACCTGAGGGAAATGTTACGAGAGCGAGTTGAAATTTATTATATATAACTTCGATATTTACGACCCGTTATCGCTTAGTTAATATCGAACGTGCTAAGAAGCAACTCTTTAATTTCTTATAAACGTATTTCACTTTCTTTAGTAAAATTTTAAGCTTAGTTGCAAAAGACTAAATATTAAATATTAAAAAATAATGGAAAACGTTGAGTACGAAATTCTTAGCTAAAAGGAGAATATAATACTCCTATAACGCTTTGCATAAACGATATAAAAAGAATCGATAAAAAAAAAATAATTGTCACATTCTAAGGACGTAAAACTGGATACTACTATTCTGTTATCTACGGGAGAGCGTCAACATGCAGTTTCATTCAATTCGCAGTACATATACGATACGTCAGCAGTAAATTCGTGGCAACCAGCAAGCGAAGACCGTCGGTGAGTTCGCGCACGAGTCGACGAGAGTCGGCATCGCAGGTGATAAACCAAGGATTAAGCACCTGATGTGATAATGCTTGTACGGTTCAGTGGTTCCAGCGGAGTAAAGCTTGCGGTTCACCGCTGAGCGGTTCCGCAAGCTCGTATGACGGACAAAGGACGACAATTACAACCCTGCCAGCCACGTCAGGGTTTCATATAACCCTGCTGATGGCAGCCCGCCGGCAGTACGTTTTCGCGCACGATGATTCTATATGGTTCTGGCTGTTACGGGTCAACAGATCACCAGTATGAAAGTTCCAAATAGTTTTTTTTTTACATCCTGACGCTTTTTGATCGAGTGATGCATTTGACGAATTTAGGGGTTTTTGAGCCAAAGGAAAAAGTTGAATCAGACAAATGAGAAGGCTCTTTAAAAAAATTTATTAAAAAATTTTTACCGAAAAGATAAAAGTTTCTCCGCTCATTTAACATTTGCATAAATTGCATCTTTATTATATATGCATACAGTTAATGCATTCAGAGTTTGTTAACTTTTATAGATGCAAACTAGAAGGCAAAGAAACATTTTTAACTCATAACTCGATTTTGTCAAAATATGAGTGAATTTCTCATTTCTCTCATTTCTTTACTCCTTTATGATATTTCTTATAAGTTCCGTGCAGCTTGCATGAGAGAAATTATTAAATCGCGTGAGAGACGTTATTTACAAATTATCCCTCTTGTGAACGAGTAGAAAATCATATGTTAGCGAGTGACGTGAGGGGGAAATAAACTATAATGCTTTTTGTATAGTAAAGTATTAAGCTAGTAGACTAAAAGTATAACATAGCAACGAGGTATACACGGCTACAGTTCGTAAAACCCTTTTTTTTGCTATAAGTACAGGTTAATAAATCTTGCGTTTGAAAAATGCGATTTATGTAAGTGATATGGTACAAACTTTTTACATGAAATTTAATTGTCCTCAAAGTAAATGATTTTCAAATCAACAGAGATTTGTTTTTGAAAATCGCGTTTTTTTTATATGTGCATTTTTTTCTTTATTTATGTCTCACAACTAATGAATCATATAAATTTAATTTTTCGGAAATGTAAAAGTAGAAAAAAATACGCTTTTAATTGATTAAATGAAAATTATTACGGTTAAATAATTTGTTTCAAACGAGATATGTTGTTAAAAAATATTTTCTATTTTACCGCACATTGTGCATTTCTATTCCAAATTCACAAACAAATTATTTCGTTAGTTTGGAATTTCTGTGCCGACAATAAAATTTTCAGAGAAATATTTTTTTAACAATTAATTAGATTTAGCCATATTGAGTTAAATATGTAGTGTGCTATTCTATAAAATAAAATCAGAATTAGTGTGTATCTGTGTGTAAGTTTCATATATGAGTATACGTTCTTGAAAAAAACAATAGTACAATTTCTTTTCTTTTTTAAATATAAAAGAATTCTATTACCGTACTAATTAAAAATTTTTAATCTCAAAAACTATTTTAAAAATCTAAAGGTTCTAGTTTAAATTTTAGTTACTTTGCTACAGTACTTTCATTTACTTTACTTTACTTTAGTTACTTTATTACAGTACTTTCATTTACAATTAATCTAATCGATCTTACATATAGACATTTTAACCGGATTTTATTTTATTTATTGTCTCACTTAAGAATGATTCAAATGCAATCGAAATGGAACACGTGCAGTTCATCTCTCGAGACGATATGCCTATCGATCCGAGAGGTGTCAGAGGCCGTGCCTCCCTCCTCTCCATCGCGTAAGTCAACTCTTTCCGGGTAAACGACGCGGAACGCGCATTATTGTATCAAGTTACGCCACCGCGCGGCAGTAAAGCGTGCCATTGTAGCTACAGCGGCAATTGTTAGAACCGTAGTGCCGCCCGCCCGAGAATACCCCAGCGCGGCGCGGAAGAGTAGGGCAGGAACATTTGAGCTGTAGTAAAAGTTTGTGGTAAATGTTATTGCAGTCTAGCGGACCGACACCGCGAGCGCACTTTCGAGTAACTCTAGGCTTATAAAGTTTACCACAATCTGTTACCACAATCGAGCCTTCCACTCATTGGGAGGGGAGGGGAATTAATACGCTCGCCTGGCCGCCAATATCGAAGCGCGTAGCTCTATCTCTCTCTCTCTTTTTTTCCTCTCTCTCGTTTTTTCAGGGTCTGCAAAGTGCTGAACCGAAAGCACGAACAGAAATCCACCTTCCGTTAGTAACCCCCTTGTTATTTACGGAAGAAGAGAATGTGAACATCGGAACACACTTAACGACTTAAATATCATGCATCCACGCAGAAAGTGT